AAGGTGGAAATGCATGGCATCTTTATAATCTAGCCTCAGAAGTTACATAGTGAATTCTGCCATGAAGTAGTCACAAATGTCTGGCCCAGATCAAGAGGAGAAGACATAAATCCTACCACTCAATGGGAGGAGTGTTAGGTTACATAAAGGGAATGGATGGCGGATATTGTTGCAGCCATTGCTGGGAGATACAGCCTGCCTCAACACATCTCATCAACACGTCACACTAAAAGGAAACACTAGTCTAATATCTAAATCCTTACTGTGAGCTCTTGATAAAATGTCAAGGGTAGGCAGTGGTGGGGTGTGTGTGTGTGTGTATGTGTGTGTTAATTTTATAATACCCAGTAATGCTTCTTTAAATTATCTTTCTGGGGCATTGAATCAAGATGGTAGACTGAGTACCTGCTTTTACCACTACTCTCATCCTCAATCCCTAGCCATGACAGAAAAGAAATATTTAAAAACAGTAGATTCATAATAGAGCTGGAAAGTTAAGTGGCATTAGTGTACCACCAATGTTGAGGAATCTCAGGACAGAAATCACATAGAATCAATTTGTTGGAGGAACCACAGCCCAAAATATGTGCAGAAGGGGAAGGCTGTGAACAGTGTGAGTCTTTCTGGGAGTTTTCCAAATCAGATGCAACGGATCTGAGGTCTTGGGGTCATTCCCAGGGTGGTTGTCTGAGAGCTGGCATCTAGAACACCAGGCAGGTTGACCCCTTCCTTTACCCACTTTGCCAAGCAGGAAGCAGTAAAGGCACTTGTCTCCAGACCAGAGCAATGTGTCTAAGACTTGGGTGCAAACAGCAAGAGACAGGGCAGTACCCCAGGCAGCTAGTAGTACCCACGAATAATCTGAGGCCCTCTCCTCCCATAAGACAACTTCTAGAACATACGACCACAGTTTTTTCTTCCCCACCATTGGCCCCAGTCATGCAACAAATTTCCCTGAAATCAATTTGAAAAAAAAAAAATTTTTTTTGAAGAGAAGCACCAAGCTCTACAGAGGATGGACCAGCATTTAAGGGAACGGAAGGAATTTTAATAAAAGTTGTTCAGTGTCCCCAGAGAAAGATGAGAGGAGTGAAGCACCCATGAAACAAGACGTTGTGCATACCCTGTCCATGTTGCCTCACCTTTCCCACTTCGGTCCACAGTGAACTGATCCCAGCTGCCAACACCTGCGTTTCTTCGCCTGAGTTGCCGTTTTCTTTTTGTTTCCCCTTGTGGCCTCCAGAGTCCTGTTTGCCAATTGTGTGGCCTGCTTGAAGTGCTAAGGAACTAACAGCCCCTATACTAAAAGCAGCCCTCAACCAATAGCCAATAGGACTTGGTCTAAATACCCCAGCTCCTTCACCCCTTGGTTGGCATGACTCTGAGACATGTGGTTGACACTGGTTCCCAGGGTTTGCAGCATGATTAACTGTGGTAAACTGGCTCGATAGCACACCCTTAACTGGCTGCCTTCCCTTCCCCCCTCCCCCACAGGCACTTCCTGGCATCACCTCCCAAATAAACCACTTGAACTCAAATCATGTGTTAAGGGTTTGCTTATTAGAGAACCCAAACTAAGTCTGAGAAACAGGCAGTTATGGCAAAGAAAGTGGGTAGATAGACTGGATAACATAATGAGCATAGATATTATAGATAAAGAATTAGAAGAATATGGAGAAGGTGAAAGAAAAGTTAAGTGGCACGGATGGTGGAACAAGAGATCCCAGCACCTGTCCAAAAGAACAGAAATAAGTCAAAGGGAGAAACAATCCAAGAAATAGGGGAAGAAAATCTTCCCTGGCTGAAATAAACAAAAACTCAAATCTTCAGATTGAATGGGGTATGAACAGAGAACAACTCATCCTGATGAAATTTGCAAAAACCAAGAGTAAGAGAAAATCCGAAAAGCTTTGCAAGATAAAAAAAAGCAGGTAAGCTACAAAGAAAGGAGTTTTGCTAGGACCAAAAATTGCGTCAGCGACACTGAGGGTAGATGACCGTGGAACAATCCCTTCTAAGTTCCGTGGGAAGGTGTTTGAAGCTAGTGGGTCATCGGGAAAGTCATGACGCATTTTTGCATTGAGAAACATAGAAAGCTACGTCATGACTTCCCTGATGACCCAATAGAATCCTAGGCCTAGCCAAAAAATCATTTATAAGAGAGAGGAAAATAAAGGCGTTTATAAACACATTCAGAGCCTAGATTCACAGTCACTTTCAACAAAATTAAAATGGGTTCAAGGGCAAGGTTTGTGGTGCAAAAAGCAGAAAGCTGAGGCCTAACCATTCCCTGGCCTCCGTATCTCCACGTGCCAGCGGCCACCGCTGGGACCCAGCGAGGGCTTGCCCTCCTCTGAATTCTTCTTTTTTTATCTCCTGTATCGCCAATTTGAAATTCAATCACGCACTACCTTAGAGATCACACACCGTGTTACAGCAAACCACTTCCCGCTGGCATTGCAGCTTAGCTATTCATGTGTTTGCCTTGCCTTCCTACCTAGATTATAAACTTTCAATTACAAGGACCATATCTTGTAGGTAATCAATAAATATTCACTGAGCTTTAACAAAATCAACCTCTCTCTCTCTTGTCACAGCCTACCATCCTGCTGTTCCCAGCCTCTTTCCCATCTCAACTGCTCTAAACACCCTCTCAACAACAGCCCAAAATACGCCAGGCGGTACTCTCAGCCCTTTTTGTAGATTTGTGAATTGTCTTCTCAGAGCTCTGCTATGGGATAAGAACTGTTATTGTCCATTTTTCAGACAGAGAAACCAAAGCCCAGAAAGGGGAAATAAATTGCTTGAGGACTCACAGCAGTTGCTAGGTGGAGCTGGGGTTCTAGCTCGGGCAGCCTTGCTCTTGTTCTTAACTGTGATGAATTTCTAAGGCATTGCTATGTCTCACCCTTTGTCATCCAGCCAAGGCCCAGAGATTGAAAATCGAGTAGGATACATTCAGGGGTGGAGGGGGAGAATAATGAGCAGACCTGGAGAATTAGGATTGTAGATAATGGGAGACAACAAGTGAAAATAAGTTTCCGGGGAGCAGGGGCAGCCAGTTGGCTCAGTAAGCTAAAGTGCAGTGCTCATAACACCAAGGTTGCCAGTTCAATCCCCACATGGGCCACTGAGATACGCCCTCCACAACTGGATTGAAGCAACTATTTGACTTGGAGCTGATGGGTCCTGGAAAAGCACACTGTTCCCCAATAAAATTTAAAATAAATAAATAAGTAAACAAAAAAGAAAATTAGCTTGGAAGGTGGGCTACACAACAGGGTGGTAATATGTGACACGTGTAACGTTGCAGAGTTTACAAAGCATATCTTCTTGCTCTTTCACATTTCGCTTCATCCCCATGACAACACTTAGAGGGAGGATTAGAGGAAATCATTGCTCCTGATATTTTACAGATGAGGCTTCTGACACTCAGAGAGGTTAAGTCACTTGCTCAAGGTCACACAGCCAGGAAATGGCAGAGCACGCCCTCGAACATTAGAGCTACCTGACTCCAGGCACAAATGACTGGAGCATGAGGTGCTGAGTGGAGGTACAAAATGCCAGCCAGTGCTCACGCACGATTTGTGAACCGATCCTCTGCAGTTACAAAATATGCTGTTTCTATTAATATACCTACAGTTTGTCTTCTGGAAAAAGACCAGTAGTATTTTTCGTGAGGGCTCCACAGCGGAGAAATTTCCTCCTCCACCCATTCAAGTCAAATCACGGGTGCCCATGTAGCTGCCCACCCCTCCAGCAATCGAAGTTCAGAACAGACGCCAGGCAGGCGAGCGAGAGGAAGGAAAGGGAAGAAGGGAGCAGGAAACCAGGAGCGAGTCTTCGGAGAACTCGTACTTTCCATGGCGCAGGAGTGACTTCCACTCCCCTTCATTTAATATTTTTAAGATGTTCTACCTCTTTTTCCAATTACTTGGTAGTTAGGATAGGTGTAAAGGGAGGAGGGAGACAGTGTGGAGGGGACCGAGGCAAGGGCCCACCTTGACATCCCTAAACACGCTGCAGGAGGCTTGTGTTTTCACGGACATGTTGCTGGAAAAACAAATAGTGCCCGCAGCCCACCTGTAGCCAGAAAGCCAGCCCCAGGGTGCGCTCTGGCCTTTTGTTCCCCTCTGGACTGTAGGACAAAAACCCTGTACTGGGTGGCCACCGTGGGGTGAGCTGGGCCTCCGCGCTGCCCCGGGGTGCCAACCAGTCTCCCCCCACGTCCCGTCTGCCCATGCCAGAAGTTCTCCTCAACTAGCGTTTTCTGAGCGCCCAGTCCTTGCCTGGCCACCGGGAGGACATAATGAGTAACGCCTGGTCCTCATTCCCGAGGGCTTTGCCATTGGCGAGGGAGACACACGTGTGTCTCATGCCTCTAATCTGGCCACACGAGTGAAGCAGGGGTTCCCAGGGGCCTGTGGGGCTCAAGGAGCTAGGGCCCTGCTTCAGGACAAAGACTTCTGCTGTTGGCTGGTACTGGGCTCATGGCTAGACAGCTTCCTAGCTGTGGGTTGACTTCTTTTTTTTTTTTTTTTTTTTTTTATTGTTAGTTTCAGGTGTACAGAACAATACAATAGTTACCCTTTTTCACCCTCACCAGGTAACAACCCCCCTCCCCCCATCTATTGCCCTCCCACCCCCGATATCATGCTTATCTATTACAATTCCATTGAATCCGTTCCCGCTCTCTACTCCATGTCCCGAGACTATATGTATATATATAATTATAGTTGACATACAGTATTATTCAACATCAGTTTCAGAAATACAATGCGGTGGTCAGGCCTCTACATTGACTATGAAGTGGACTCCCCAAAAGGACATGGGTCCATCTGGCCCCCTAATAAATACTTACAACATTATAGATTATATTCCTCGGGCTGTCTTTTTCTATCCCTGAGGCCATATTACAATTACTAATTTGTATTGTGTGGGTTGACTTCTTCATGTCTCTGTTCCTTCTGCTGGGAAATGGGAAATATAATAACACTCACCTTGCAGAGTTGTTGAGAGGAGAAGCAGCACCTAAGGGACAAGAAGACAGCTGTTTACTAACCAGCCAAGACCATTATTATCACCACTCAGAGCAGAAAGCATCCGCTGGGGAGGAAAGAGTGGACTGGGAGCCTGGGAAGCGGGCAGTGCAGACAGGACGGATGAGGTCTGGGAAGGGAGGAAGGCGAGGGATAAGCCAACAGAAGCGCCCCGCCCCCTAGTGGCTGGGAGCCAGAGAAAAGGATTGGAAGGGAGTGGAGGTAGGACTGGCCCAGTGGGAGGGAGATTGGGGCCTGGGCCCCATGTATGTTGGGGAGACTGCGAATCCATCTCTGGGTCCAAACTGCCTTCCCACATCTGTCCAGAAGGCAGCTTCCTGCCAGGCTGGGAAATTGCTTTGGCCTGGAATTTTTCTGCTTAGGAGTATTTTTGGAGCCAGTTTCAGTGTTAAGAATGTCCAGTTACCAACATTCCTGAAACAGATGTAGAAGAGGCAGACATGAATTGCACAGTCTCCAGGGGGAAGGGGGGAAGAGGCGGGTGACAGAGGAGACGGATATGCCAGATACCCCTGCCCAGGGTTGGGAGGGGCCTGAGAGTACTGTGCCCAGCCCACTACTTTACAGATTAAGAAGAGGGCAAGGACTGTGAGCATGCGCTCTGCTTTTGTCTTAGAAGCCAACTCACAGCAAAACCTTCCCACTAAAAGCACAGTCTAAGGCTTCTTTGTCATTTGTTTGATTGTTTGTAATCCCGAAAGAGTCATCCACAATATCACACAACCACAACAATCCTTTCCTTTCTTTTCCTTTCCCTTTTTACTTTATTGGCTACAGGCATGCCTTTTAAAAAATAGACTTATTTCATAGAGCAGTTTTAGGTTCACAGCAAAACTGAGTAAACAGTATGGGGAAGTCCAATAACCCTCCCTCCTACCTCCCAACGCTCACCTACCATCAGCTTGTAGCACCAGAGCGGTACATTTGTTACAACTTAGGAACTATATTGATACATCCTCACCCCAAATTTTTGGCACATTTGTATTTTTATTTTGTTGCCATCTTCAAGGACTGTAGCACTGGGTTTCCTTTTTGTTTGTTTCTTTAACATTTGAGCTTTTTATGTTTGGAGCACTGGATTTTAATTTGGAAAGGGAGATGCTTCCTGTATGAGGTCTGCCAATCGTCTAGGCGGCACTGCCCTTCAACCTGTGCGCCTCAGATGTTGTGTTTGCTGAGTGAAGCTTCTAGGGGCCATGGCTGTGACTGCCAGAAGTGGCTTTGGCTGCACCTCTCCAGAAGCTTTTCTGCGAACGCTGCTCCTTGAAGGTGAGATGGCCTCATCCTGATGTTGTTGGTTTCTTGGGCAGAGTGGAGGAAGAAGCCGCCCAGAAGAACATGGCCCTCAAGAAGATCCATTTTTACAGTCAGTATTTCTCATTGGCCCCTGGAGGCCCCATGGATCCCATAGGACTGGGCCAAGCCCACCTGGGCTCAGAGCTGGAGGAGGATCTGTGTGTGGGTCCAGCCTCCCGACTGGGGGCATCTCCCCCAGGTGCAGCAGATGGAGGCAGAGCTGGAGGGCGAGAGGGAGCAGCGCTCAATCAATGGCAATGGCAGCTCCGAAGAAGCTTGAGATGGACCTGAAGGAAAAAAAGCTATTTGACAAAGATGTTTAGGATTGAAACAAGTGGCGGGAGAATAACAAAGGAAACGTGTCCTGCCGTGTAGTCGGGGCTGACCTGGCACAGTACCGGTGTCGGGAATGGTGCGGGAGCCCCGGATTCGAGTCAACAGGGAGCTGAGGAAAGTACAAAACACGCAGCGGGGGCTGATACGTACTCGGTGACCGACACCGCCGAGAGAATGCTTTGTCGATCCCAACGGTCAAAAACGGGTAAAACTGGTGTAGGATAAAGAGACATTTTTGTCTTTGGTTGCTGTTTGGCCCTTTTAAGGAAGCTGGTCGACTATGGCATTGGGTGAAAAGCAGCCATAAGCTCCTGCTGGTGCGGGTCCCTGTGAGGGGCGGGAGGGCAGATGGTGGGG